TTCTGGGTCTCCACTAGACTGCAGCTGGGCTTGGTGTCAGTGAAAGTCTTTTGCTCTGTGAAGCCAGGGTCTGAAGGCTTTTCAAAGTCTTGAGTTTCAGAAATACAGAAACTGTAGGAGACTGCATTTTTAACCAAGTAGATTGACAACTACTATTTTTAAATGCTGAAGATTACATAGTGCCAAACTATAAGCCTTTGTAATCTCTGATTATGTATTTGCTTGAAGGTCCGAAAGGAGAGACCACTGTGATAACTCCACTGCCGGCCCTGGCAGGACCTCAAGGACCAGATGGTTTACCTGGCCCCCCAGGAGTGCCTGGTGAGTACATCTTGCCCCTTGTCATGCTTTGCAGGGGCACTGGAGGACCGTAAGTGACATTGAGGCTAACTGTTGTGAGGTATCCTTGCCTTGGTTTTGTGGAACAATAGTCCATAAATCTGCCCTGAATAGCATAAGAAAATTTCTTGGCAGCCTTATGGTAGCTTCTTTTTGTGCAGATTACATAAAAACTTAACTCACAGGCTCATGCCTGCTTTGATACTGTGAACACAGTTTTAGTATTTCAACTGTGAGAACCTGCTGTGGAGGAGAAATAGTGGCTAAATTCTAATATAATCTACAGTAGTGTCCTAATTAATGATGGTAAACTGTGAAACACCTAATCTTACAAGTTAAGATTCTGTGGTAAGACAAATCACAGTTTACTTATTTTCTTTGTACAGGTAGGATTGGAGCAAGAGGTCAGCGAGGTGATTCAGGACATCCAGGGCCAACAGGAGACACGGGCTTTCCAGGGCTTGGGTTTCCTGGAAACCCAGGTCCAAAAGGTGAGAGAGTCTTCTTGGTTTTCCTCTGCATAAAAAGCAAAAACAAATCCAAAACCTCTACTATTTCTTTTTAGTCTGTATGAAAAACAATCAAGTTGTAAAAAAAAATCAATTAGTATTAGACAGGCAAGTTTTTAGCCCTCTTGTAATTTATTAATTGCAAGTTTGGAATATTTTGAAGTATTTCAGAGAATCAAGTATTAAAAGTGGCAGTAGGGAGATATTTTAGCAGACATTGATGTTTCCTGGAATACTGCCCAAAGAGGTGCAGCTCGCCTGAGTGCCACACTTACTGACCTGTATTCTCCTTACCTGGACACATGTTACAGAGTCAGAACTGTATAAGTGCCAGTATTTGATTTTTAATCAATTTTGGATATATACAATGCAATACCTGCTCTAATGCGCAGGTAATAGAGAACGTTTTGAATATTCTAAAGTTGGTCATTCCTCATGCAGAGCCATAGCTCTCTTCGGACACTGGAAATATTAAGAAATTCTCGTAATCCTGTCAGGACAATAAAAAACAAAAAGACAACTCTGATACTAAAACTGCTACCAAGCTGTTTGTTGAAGAAAACGGTGGGGAACTGACATCAGAGTAGCCTCCCTTTAAAAAAATCCCGTGTTGCAGTCAACATGGAGTGGTGTGTAAGGAGCAAGGTGCAGTGTGGCACCAGCTCTGAAATCAAGATGCCGTCTTCCGCTCATGTAAGCTATTGGTGTCAGAGGCTCATAACTGCATCTGTACAAATACCCAGGCGTAAAATAGGGTGATAACCATCGCGTCTCTGCCACTATCCAATTCCTTTTGCAGGAGATAAAGGACTTGCAGGAAGCAGAGGGTCACCAGGTTGTGAAGGAAAGATTGGAGATCCAGGCCGGGCTGGAAGTCTGGGACAACCAGGACAAAAGGTTTGCTTAGAAATAGAGCACAGACTTTTCCACAGGTCCCATCCGTTCGCTGAGACACTGAGCAAATAAATTAAGAAGCATAAGGAGTACGGGAGTTCCTATATTTCCTGGCCACTGGCGTACAAAGTATGAAATTCAATTCTTTATATAGAAAGGGGCTCAAGCCAAAATTTTAAGTTCAGATACAGGATTTCAGAACTCCTAAATATTTGAGATGTTTTGGTACTTCAGTTTTCAGAGCACAAGGAAAACTCTGCGTGGCGTACAGATTTGCAAAACCTAGTGGATCGTTTACCACTAACTTTTCTTTCTGTGTTACAGGGTGACCCAGGCATGGTTATTCCTGGAGAGCCAGGTAGACTGGGTTCACCAGGAGCTCATGGCAGTCCTGGCTCAAAAGGTGATAGAGGATTTCCAGGACTTCCAGGCCTACCAGGGCGTGCTGGACACGATGGTGATGACGGCCTAAGAGGTACTGTTGTCAAATGAGCTCGGGGAGCACAGCGAGTTATTTTAGGGAGAGGGAAACCAAGTCAAACAGTGCCCACCCAAAGCCTGAAATATCAAAAGCCTCACTCAAAGCTTTAAATTGTGAATCCAGTCTCCTTTCTTTTAGGAGATCGCGGCTCACCTGGAGTTCTTGGAGATCCAGGTTTTCCAGGGAAACCTGCTGAATGTCGCATTGGCCTGCCAGGTTTGCAGGGTGGTCAAGGAGCTACAGGCCCACCAGGTAGGACCTTCTGAATCAAATATGCCATTTGGCTGGGTGGGTCTGCATTTTGTTTCTGCTTTCCAGTGGCCTGAAGGCGCTGAAGTTGTTTCTGGATATCCATTACAGGATAGTATGCGAGAAAATAATCCTGTATATGATCTCAAAAGGTTCTAAGTTCTTCTTCTGAGAAAGAACACAATTCTCTACTCTTGCCTTTTTTTTCCTTTTCCCTTAAAAAAAGTACACAAACAACAACAACCAACCCACAACTGTTTTGGCTTTTTTCCTCTTCCTGAACATGTATGTTGTCTTACAGATCTAGTGTTTAGCACTCAAACAGGTAGAGTTCAAGAAGACTTTCATGCCCCAGACAGCAAGAGAGCCATGAAAGTTTATCTTCCAGACAAAGGTACCATACTACACTGTCATGCATTTTTCTTAGGAGGAAGAGGTTTGCAAGGTTCAAAAGGAGAACTAGGTCTTCCTGGCTTGAGTATCCCAGGAATCTATGGAGAGCCTGGGGAACCTGGATTAATCGGTCTGCAGGGCAGTGCAGGATTACCGGGTCCCAAGGGGCAGCCTGGAAGGCCAGGAATCTCTGGTGTGCCAGGTAAGGATTCTGCAAATACTTGTTTAGACATGGAAATTAAGTCAATCTCTGCAAAAGGTTGTCACTCATGCTTTTCCAAACTGAAGATGTCAAAATGTTTTTCCGTCTACGGCTTTCATATATATCAATGAGATCCTTATGGATCCGGTGACAGGCATACGTGTAGTTTTCTGAAGAAATGTTGCTTCACTGATCAAATACTAACAAATATTCTCCTGTTGCTTCAATTCCACAGGTTCAAGGGGAGATCCAGGTTTAATGGGCCGGTTAGGAATTCCTGGAGCCCCAGGCATGGCTGGCAGACCAGGCAGCCCGGGTGTCAGAGGCAAGTGGCTGCAGCATCTGTCTTCTCTCTGTTCCTTAGAATACAGGAACTTCTGTGCTCAAAGTAGTCTTGTGATCCATCCTGGTGTGTGGTACCGCTCTTGAGTGCACGAGTCAGAGCAGAATTTCTTTGAGTCTTGGTCAATATTTGGCATCTGTATATGTGCAGCCTACAGACTTACAGAGTTACAACGTTATTTTATCTCTTTTAGCAGTTTTGAATTCCCACTTTTCTCTTTCATTGGTATTTGTAAAAATGGCTGGTGACTTGCTAAATAAAGAGCAGAGAGCTTTTTTCCTGTCTTTTTTCTGTCCCATTCATGGTTCAAATAGCATTACTATATCTATTCAACAAATACAAGATTATACATATATTCAGTATAAGAAATAATTACCATCTCTTGCCATAGTCTCTGCTCGTTAATGTTTTATTGATGATTGAAGTAATTAAGAAGCCAGTTTAAGTTGTCTGTTTGGAATGTGTATTTAAGTACATAGTTGCCCTTGAAGACAGGCATTTCATAGCTTCCTTCACGTCTAGTCAGTTTACTTCAGAACAATTCATTATTTTCTTGCAGGTTCTTCTGGCTTCCCAGGACTAAAGGGAAGAAAAGGATTTCTTGGAGCAAAGGGCGAACCAGGTGATAAAGGTTTTTCTGGACCATCTGAGACCTTGGTTGGCATCGGGGATAAAGGAGAACGAGGCTTAAAAGGTGCACATCTGTTGTTCTGTCACTCGGAACTAGTCAGGGTTGTTGTCCGTGCTGCAGTTCAGTGGGCTCTAAAGTATGGAAGAAAACGACGCTGCTACTGAAACTATTCCCAGGGCTTTGAAATAATTACTGATGAACACTGTAATTGCCTTTTTATTTATGGGATAGCTGGATATTACACTGAATATTTACTTCCGTTTTAACAACTCCATATTCCTTAAAAAGCTCTTACTGTAACGTTAAACCAGTAATATGTCAGTAGTAACAGGAGGCTTATGTATGTATATGCTCTGCATTCATGGCTTTACCTGTTTAGTAGCCCATGAGCACAGAATTGTGTGTGCTCACCAACTAGATGCTGGATTGCCAAGAAACTGAGTCTGCTCAGAAATACCTGACTGTCAGGAGAATTCTTCTGTTTTCAGTATTAACATGGACTCGGCATACGAGTTGTCCTTGCTTAACTAACGCTGCCTGACTTTTTGTGTAGACAAGCTCTTATGGAAGCTTTAAGAAACTTCCTTTTGTCTCCATAGGAGAAATCTAGAAGGCTTTACAGAAACTTTATTCTTGACATAAACATGCTTATACTCTAAGATGGTTTTTTGCAATATTTTCTGAAGTGAAGCTTTTGTTTTAGGAGTTCAAGGAAGAATGGGTCTAAAAGGAGAAAAAGGAAATGCCGGTGTGCACGGTCCCCCAGGTGCTGATGGGGCTGGAGGAATGCCTGGGCTACCAGGTAAGGTGTATGTGTGCTGAAAATTACTGCATCACGTGGAGAGCAGAGATAATACTGCCTCAGTGCTGGCACTTCAGCTCATCTCCAACAGCACTACATTCTCTGGATTAACTCTGAAGCTTTTCTGAGAGTTCTGAAACTGAACAATTTCAAACGCTGCTATTTCAAAGCTGTAGCAGCTACCACCAGATGATTGTCTCCTTCCAAATGTACACTGTTGTTTGGGGTGATAGATGGAAAATTACATTAAATCCTGAGTAACAGTAACTTTAAAAGCTGATGAGGCCAGTGAATAAAATTTGATATTTGTAGGAGTTAAGTTTGAATTCCAATATTAATAAAAAACCTAAGAATTCTAAAATATGAACATCACAATTGTGCAAAAAAAAACATTTTGGAAGTTTTATTTCAAATTTATTTTATTTCCCTTTCCAAAGCGTTCGTGTTTGACTTGCATTTTGAAAGTTACCAGACCTTCAGTGAAAAGCAGACTTAAAAAGAACCTGCATAAATTATAAAACTACCTAAGCTGTTTCACAAAGTTTTGCTCTGCCATTGCCGTAACTTCATACCTAATGATACACGTTGACCCTTGAGGCTTTTTTCAAATTAATGCTAATAAAACATCTTTAATTCTCTATATTCTCGAAAACCATATGATGCTGTAATTAGATAAATAAAAATGGTGACAATCAAAAATAATTTTAAACTTGTAATTGAAGCAGCTCATGTAATGACGACAGTTATCGATGCTGTATGTCATTATGGTGCTGTGGTCACAAACTTCAATTTTAATGTCGATGCACAAGATATTTGTTATGTTCTTTACATTCTGGCAACAACTATGATAATTTTATCTGTCTCTGGGCCAAGAGGCTGCATCTTGATTTACAAAATAGTAAGATGCCCTCACAAGGTGTGTGACAGAGGGTTGTGTATTCATGACGGCTCTGCCGGCCGGTGTCTAAAGCAAACATGAGAAGGTGACACTTACTTCTTTGTCTTGCAGGTGTCAAAGGATTTATGGGTCTTCCAGGGATTCCTGGAGGACAAGGATTCCCAGGTGCACCAGGAAGCAAAGGGGACATGGGAATTCCAGGTCATTTTCTGTCACGCCGTGTTACAAATTCCTAGAGCTGTATAGAAGCATTTGCACAGGTCTGAGCAGTTCCTGTAAGCATCCTCCACAAGACTTGGATGGGATTTGTTCTTAGCAGTACCTCTAGACTTCTCACCACCCCACCATTTGCTTGACTTGCAGATTGCAGTTCTCCCAGTGAAATATAACTTCTTTAACTTATATAGTGTTACATGCAAGAACCTCTCTTTAATGTGTTTAGAAACAAAATCACTGCCTGTGTAAGTTATCTTTAATGCAGAATAAATACCTGATGAATGTGCCAGCAGTAGTTTGCAGAACACAAGGTGTTATCCTTTTAAGAGTGGCATGCATCAGTATCTGTGTTTTTTCCAGGTCCAAAAGGACAGAAAGGATCTCCAGGCTTTCCAGGACCATCAGGTGACCCTGGCCTGCCGGGCTACAGTGGCTTTCCCGGTGACAAAGGAGATCCTGGGTACCCGTCTCCTGGGCCTCCAGGAGAACCTGGTCCAAAGGTACAAAGGCAATGGGAACGTTGTTGTGTTAGGCCATCAGCAGAGCCTTTGGCTGTAGGAACAGGACAACCCGTAAGCAAGAGCTGCTGAGTTTGTAGAAGTAGGTGATTTGTTAGTGGTAAGAAGTGTGAAAATTCTATTGTGTCATTACTCAGGAGAAATTTTTGAGTTCATTATTTTTTTCTCTTGGTGCAAGAGATCTCTTACTTGTAAAGATGAAACATCTTGGAAATAACTTTGTTTGTGGAAAAGCTGCTAATGCATTAAGAGCATGGGCTGCAAAAGTCAGCACTAGGAACACTTACACATTAAAAATTACAGAAAAACATAGTCTGTGCAAATGCAGATGTTCTGAAGTCTGAAATTGCACTGTTGGCTTTTGACAGTCTAGTATCATTGCAAAAGATGAAGTGGGTTTTTTCTCAGCAATGTATATTATGTTCAGTATATACTATGTTCAGTAGTATATATTGCTAAGAGAGACAGTATTTTCTAAGTTAGCTCACTCGGACACAATTTTACTCCACATATTCTGGTTGTTGGGCGACAGTCAGTCTTTCTACATAGGACATTATATAAAGTAGGTGGTAGAGGCTATCAACCATCCTGTAACTCCTGTAATCCATCTAAATAATCTGATTATTTTCTGTATTAGCTGGGCAGCCACAATGAGATTATTGTTGTGAAAGTCAGTACAAATTTAAGGAAAAATACGCATGTCAGTGTTTTGGATAGCTGTGTAGTCTGTAAGGAAAGTATGTTTGGAACAAAAGAGGAGTGTTCGAATAAAACTGAAGGGAAGTCTCTGTGTTGGTGAAAACATCTAAAGACAGATTTGTACAGATTAAGGAAAAGGATTGTTGGTATTATGAGAAGACTTTGTGTCAGTCTACTTTGATTTTTGTCTGAGAGGCATAAGGAATCTTTAAAATCACCTATCATTTCTGTATTGTTCAGATATGGAATGTATTTAATGCGGTGTGATTCTTTACCTGTTTGTGTGCAACTGCTATTTCTCAGGGAGATCCAGGCCCCCCAGGACTTTTGGGCAGCAAAGGAGAAAAAGGATCCCAAGGTCATCCAGGCCGTAAAGGAATACCCGGACCACATGGGCTCAGAGGAGAGACTGGACGTGCAGGAATCCCAGGTACGTTTTGTTTCAGAGGGGTGGTGAGATGTCGACATGCTGCTGGAAGAAGGTAGTTTCTCAGCAAAGCACCAGGGTGCCTATGGGCTGGCACCTTTATATCCGACTGCTCTGAACCTCGTAGTTGGTGCAGCCAGGCTCACCTGCGTCAGCTGGAGATCTTTTGCAGGTGTCCAAAGCAGAAATGATAGCAAAGTTCTCAGCCTGAGCCTCGATCTAGTCCTAATGCCTTTTCCCCTCTCCCGCGCTCTTTCTTCTTCCAGGGAAGCATGGACCTCCTGGAGGTGTTGGTGCTAGAGGACAGCAGGGCTGCCCCGGACAGCAGGGCATCGCTGGCCCCCCCGGTACGGCGTGCAGCACCTCTCCAACGCACTGCCCCCCTCTGTTATTTTCTCTGTAATGAGGCAGCTGATGTTCTGAGCTTTTTAGCCTTTAGCTGACGCAGTCACAGTCACAGTCTCTGTTTATGGGAGTTCCAGGCTTTTTACCTTCTCTGGTTCCAGCCACAGTCTTTAACAGCCTATTTTCAATGTTATTGGTTCTGCTGAGGCAAGAGGTTTTAATTTTGTTTCACTACTGTAGAGCTTTTTGCCTTTTTTTCATTTTCATCCAGAGTTCTCAAGATATGATATCCACAAAATTTTAGGAAAGGCTTGTTTACTTCCTAGAGGAGAATGATAGATGTAGCTAGATGAGGAGGAGAACAAAATTAATTAGAGTGGAAAGAGAGGATGGAGTTGTAGTTGTTTGTTAAAGCAACAGTGAAGATCAAACCATGCAAAACATACCTAAGGGGGAGTGTGTGCCTACGCAGCCACAGAGAGGTGTGCTGTGCAGGCTTTAATAAAGTGAGTGCCAGCCACTGAGCGCTCTTGTATTCAGAAGTGCTTGTCAAAATTATGATGTTGTGGTTTTATAGACTTTAGAGAAACCTTGGATTTCTAATAAAGCCAGGAAGAGAAACCACACTGCCTGTATGGATTCCCACCAGCGTGGGTTAAATCCAGTGAGCTCAATAAAAATTATATGCTGCTCTTTATAAATGTCTGTACACCAAGAGTTACACCTGCCTTGGAGGTAGCTGAACTAATTAAATTTTAATAAAGGGGACTTGTGTCCTCTTCCTTCGAAATGCAAAATAATAAAAGTGCAAGTGTTACCGTGATCTGTTGTAATTCCCAGGGGCTGTTGGAAAACCTGGAAGAAATGGACTTGCAGGCGACAGAGGTGACCAAGGTCGGAATGGCATGCCCGGTGCCCCAGGAGGGAAGGGAGAACCAGGTAACAGCAGTGAAATACGTGAATTCTGTTTTACAGTTGTTTTCTTCCCTGATTAAACTGACAAGGATTATTTGGGAAGGACTAATGGGGAGCTTCTGTGGAGCCAGAAATAAGTTTCTAAGTAGAAGGTTTTTCATTTTTATATAATTCACAGGTTTTTCTATGTAATTGTTTTACATGCTGTCAAGAACCCAAATACGGATGTTCCCGCTTTATTACAAATGTGAGCTGTCACAACGTCACCTAAAAATGTTAGTGTCTGCAAGAGCCAAAGTACTGCTGTTAGCAGTTCCTACATGTTTAATCTCAAAAAGAGGAAAAGAAGCCAAATCATTTTAAAGGACTCTCCTCTCCTGCATGGAAATACAAGATAAAAGGAATCTTGGTGTTACTTGCAGGAATAGCGAAGGTTTCCATGACCTGGCCCTTGGGTTGTAAAACCTTACATTTAAATCTTGCGCCTCACGCCATCAGTGTCCACAGATAGAAGCAGTCCTCCACTGAATCCTGGCAGAAAGCATTTTCTTATTTTACAGTGAAAATGTGTCTTTGGATATGAGTATAAAGAGGATACTGGGAAGGCACTCGTAGTATTTAGTAATTTTTTTTTCATATTAAGTTTGAAGTAATCACTGTTAAGGTATTTTCTTTTTTAGATATTTACATTTCTTCTATTTTTCTCAGTAACTAACTTAAATGCAGATTTTTCATATGTTTTTGTTCCTCTGAATAAAGACAAAGCATGTTATTGTAGAATGTACCTCAAACATTAATCGGTAGAAGTATGAAGAAAAGCATACAAATTTAATTTGTATTTCTGGGTGAAAAAAATGAAATAGTCAATAAATTATACTTTACATATAATTAAAATATATTTTTTGATTCAGTGAATTCTAAAGAAATGTATGAAATATTAGACAACAATGATGTTTTCTAAAAATTATTCAGGACTTTGAGTTTAATGTGACCTAATGTTTCATAGGAGCACCAGGGAGAGGAATCCCTGGCCTTCGAGGTGCTCCTGGTCGTAGAGGTGAGTTGTCTTTTCAGAAAGCAAAAGCTTTGATTTTTAAATACTAGAATCTTCACCTTCATCTTTAAGTCACCTCCTGCTTGTGAGTGCTTGAAATGGCACTGAGAGTGTTGGAGGAAATGAAGAGTGACTCTGTGCTTTTGATCAGTGATTTGGTGCTATATATTAAATGTTAAGAGTTCTTGCTGGTAAAGTTAAGACTGTTGTAAAAGGGAGCTAGAGAAGATACCTTCTTTGATTTTGTGAAGGTGATACGCACATTCTAGAGCTTTTGAAATTTTATTTTGATACACATTTTGATTAACAGTATATTCTAATGAAAACAGATCATGATGCTGAATGCTAAGCGTACTATAAGAGACCTGCAGTGATCGCATTTTGATTTTGTTCATCTCACCTTTTATATTGATGAACAGATGACTGAGGGGACTCTTCCATGTTTTAGATTTTGCATTGTATTTCTGGTACCATTAGAAATCCATAGACTTGCTTTGCTTAAAAAAAAAAATCTCTTTTGCCAGTTGTGATGTTCAAAGAAGCATTTCATCTACTTTTGCATCAAGAAATATTCACTGCTCTGGTCTTTTTACCCTCCTCTCAATTTTATTCCTTTGTATGAGCAATCTCTGAAGTGTTTTGTTGTTTTGGTTTTTGTTTTGTTCATTTTGAAAAAAACTAAGGTGTACGCTACCTTACAGTGGGTCCTGTCTTCTCAGAACTATTTTGTTTATGGTAGCAAGGTGGCTTTGGGGACTTCTCCATGCCAAAAACAAAGGCTGAATTCTACCTCTGTGGTACCATAAATGTACACATTGTGTGCAGTCACGTCAGCTCACCACCTCGACAGCTCCCTTAGCTCTCGTATCTGCTTATGCTTTGCAGGAATCAAAGGGGACATGGGCCTGCCTGGTTTTCCCGGGCCACCAGGTATGAAAGGCCATCAGGGCGACCAAGGGCCCGTTGGACCTCCTGGCCTAGTGGGATTCCCTGGACTTCAGGGCACGACGGGCATGGCAATTCCTGGCCAGAAAGGGAACAGAGGTGTTGCGGGTGCGGATGGAAGGCCAGGTGTGTTGGTCTAACTCTTTATTTGTCTGAAATGATACACTGGTAACTGAAAGCAGAATTCAGCCTGTCCAGAGCCCAAGGCCTTCCCCCAAGAGAGCTTCATAATTAAACAGGTGGTTCCTCTGCCAGGTAATGCCATGATGGCCTGTGCAGTGTGATGTAAATCAAAATAACGCTAAGCTCTGCAGTCCACTCGATTGCGTTGTTTTGCTTTCTTCCCGTGTTGTCAGCAGGGCAGCTGAGATCCAACTCTAAAGACGTGAGGTAGCTTGAGTGTGCAGACGTGGCCCTTAGGGACATGGTTCCGGTGGACTAGGCAGTGCTGGGCTAACGGTTGGACTCGATGATCTTAAACAATTCCATGATTCCAGGCATAACTACAGCTGGAGGATATTCAAAAAACTGTAGTGCTGTGGAGTACCACAAGAGCTCAGCTCTGACTCAGATGAAATTGGCAGGCTAGGAAAAAGGAGTCTTTTCTTTTATTTTTTTTTCTTGTAAATAGGTGTATTTCCTTGGGAATCACTGTGGCAGTAAACGTGGGTCCCGCTACAGAGTCACAGGCTGTTGTAGTGCCTTGTACATCACGTCTGTGAGATGCTGCCGGCAGCAGTCTTGACTTGCTCTGATGTTTCTGTACAGGTGCTCCTGGCTTTCCAGGGCCTCCTGGTCTTCCCACACCCAGCATGAAAGGAAGCAAAGGCGACAGAGGGGCAGATGGCGTACCAGGGCCAACAGGCCCCATCGGCGACACTGGTCCTCCGGGTCCAAAAGTCAGTGAAACGAATATTGCTTGTTTCTAACTGCATTGTTACCTTACTTTTACCATGAAAATCACACCCAGGGCAACTTAAAAAAATACAACAAAACAAAAAAACCCACATCCTCCCCAAAAAAACTTGTAATAGTGAAAAGATAGTAATATGGATATGAAAAGTAGTTTTTATGGACTTAAGTGGACCAAAAAGACATTTCTGGCATGTCATTTCCTTGGCCATTCTGTATTACAGAATTGTATTAACAACAACATGGCTGTTTCTAACATGCTTACAAACGGAGCAGATACTTCTCAGTGTAGCATATTCTGTGAAGGTTAATGAGTATTCTGAACAAAAAGAAAATGGAATTCATCGCGTGCAGCTGCTGCTTCCTGTTTATTCTTTGTTTATTATTGGTGTTGTCTGGTTTGCAGGGAATAGAAGGTCGATCGGGTTATCCTGGTGCTAGAGGGCACCCTGGGTTTCTTGGATTCCCAGGCGTAAAAGGTATTCCTGCATTTATTACATACGCTTCTGTGTGTCAGGTAGAATCATTTACGTCTTGCATTATAATAGTATTTTTCTAATAGCACCAGGTGTGGCCCTAGAGACACGGGGGTTTTCCACCAAGAGCCGGTTGTAGCTCAGCTATAAATGAAAGCATTCACTAAGAGAGCATTTTCTTTGAGTTAGGTGCTATGGGTATGTCCAAAATAAGGAAGGGGTGAGACTTTGATGGCCTCCATAGTCAGTCAGTTATAGCCAGTCAAATCTCCTGACTTGATGATAAAAATACTTCTTTTAAAAAAATTAAATAATTTATTTCCAGCAGAGCTGTAGAAGTCTACTTTTGCATTTCAAACAAGTCTACAGGCACTGCTTCTCTTTGGGAAGGTTGCACGGATTATGCAGGGCTCTTAAATAAGCTTCTGAAAGTGATGTTTTGACATTTTAAACCAGACAGGTGTATTTTTAATCTTCTTTTTTAGGAGAAAAGGGTAATCCAGGACCCACCGGACCACAAGGTGCAGCAGGGCCAAGGGGACCGAAGGGCCAGCATGGTAACCAGCCCTGCGCAGTCTTATACCAGCTGACTTAGGTTGATTGGTTTGGTTTGTAGGCTGTTTCTTTTAACATCAAGCAATAGCTTTTTGTTACATTTTTGCTGCTAGGTCTTCCTGGAGTCCCTGGGAAAATATTCTCTGTGCCAGGAAGCAAGGGTCCTCCTGGACTGCCAGGAATCCCGGGAACACCAGGTGATCAAGGAATTCAGGGGATTCCCGGACTACAAGGTGCTTTATACTTCCATCTCTGTACATGCTCCTGTGCGCTGCTGAGTAGGACATTGTGATGTGGTGTCAGTAACACTACAGACAGTCTCAAAACTTAGTAAATTCATGCTGATGGTTTTTATTCCAACACAGCTACATTTTCCTAGGGATATTCACTTTATTCCTTAACAGTTATTAAAATGTAGAATAACTACTCCTATGTGATTCTGGTTTTTCCTTCGTTACAATTTAGGACCTAAAGGAGTAAAAGGTCTACCAGGAAGTTTTGGTCATCCAGGTCAACGAGGACTGCCTGGTCCAAAAGGAGACCGGGGATTTCCAGGACAAAGAGGTACAGGAAAGCAGGCTCTATCTTTCACTGCTGGTACTGAATTTACAGATAAACTGCATTCCTGATTTCTGTAAGTCCTTCCTCTGGAGCCTGTGGAGGTTCTGTAATGTTTACAGTAGCTTTAGGGCCACAAGCACGTGTAAGCACATTCTTAGCTTTTAACAGATGCGTGTTCACAATTTAGTAATTTAGTAATTAATAATTAATTAAGAATTAATAGTTCAGTAAAATGGGTATTGTCTGTACTCTTCTGTTATTAATCACATGTATTTACGCACTTGAAATCCGTAGGTATCGGTGTGCCTTTTTATGCCTTCAAAATAGAACTAAATATTTTTGTCACCATAAAATGTTTTGACTTTACAACTTTTTTTGTTGTAAAAGTGGCCACGGTTCTTTAAAATACCCTACTATTCCATGAAACTGTGCAATGCAAAGCTACCTGAGCTAGGTCTGAAGGAGTTAATACATCTAGCAACAAACAGTACCAATTTTCGAGCTGTATCTTCTTAGTGATAATTTTTTTGTTGGCTTTCAAGTGGTTCCACTAATTTAAATGAAGGAAGAATTCAAACAAAAGGATAATATTTGCACTCGTGTTTCTTTTCCCTGCCCACAGGACAGCCTGGACTGGTTGGCTTTCCAGGTCTCCAAGGGTTACCTGGATCACCAGGTACTATGATTGCTGGTCCAACAAGAAAAGGTTTTATCTTTACCCGGCACAGTCAGTCCACAAGCATTCCTTCCTGCCCGCTTGGGACTGCGCAGATCTACGTTGGCTACTCGCTGCTTTTTGTACAGGGAAATGAACGAGCACACGGACAAGATCTTGGTACGGTACTGGTAACAATTTTGTGATTGTTTTCATTAGAGTCCAGTAATGCTAAGCTGTCACAAAACCAAACCCGCCGTAAGTGTCCGAGGGGAGCACTGGCTTCAGCCATCTGTCTCCAGCGTGCTCTGCTGCTCTGAGCCTATCCAGACACCTCTCTGCCTGCGCTCCTGTAGTTCCTCTTTGCTATTCGAGACATTTTTGAGGAGCAGTCCAGTTACGTATGGATAGATGTCTGATATAAATGCTCACAACATCTGCACGGGGCTAACAGTAGTGACACAGGATCTGAGAGAGAATCTTGCTTTTTTTGGAGACCTGATGGGATGGTTTAGGGTTTCAAAAATTGTAGCAGAAGCTTTTGTTTAAACAGCTGAGTCACTGCCACTGTGACGAGGACCGATACTATTCAATAAGATATTAATATTTCAACAGATTTTATTCTTAGTTCTTATTTTCATATATACCATAAGCATTTTGCTTATGAATAATTCCACTGTGCAGATGCTTCTCTCTAGTTAACGTTTTATTTCTCACTAGAGTAGATTGGATGCCATCACATGTCTCTTCTGTTCTCTGCACCACATATAATCATCCATCTGTCACAAACCTCTCCTCTTTTGTCTTCCAGGAACAGCTGGCAGCTGCTTGCAGAGATTCACCACCATGCCATTCTTATTCTGTAGCACCAACGACGTGTGCAGCTTTGCTTCTCGCAATGACTACTCCTACTGGCTGTCCACAGCAGCAGTGATTCCGGCGGACATGGCACCCATTTCTGGCAGGGCACTAGAGCCCCATATAAGCAGGTGAGAGCACAAGAATGCCAGCTCCTCTGGCCTGGCACCACGAGCACATCATAAATCGGTTTTGACAGCAAATCTTAATCAAAAACCTGCCCACCTCAGCCAGTACAAGCACTGGTTTTAACTCTCTGGCAGAGATTGCAAAGCAAGGTATTTGAGTTACCTTCAATTTGCTTATCTCCTCGTTAAGCAGGGAAGAACTTGTGTGAGTTGTAGCCTTTCCAGTAAGCCCTGCCACGGGGTAGCTGCTGTCCTAGGAGAAAAAGGTTTGGTCTGCTTTCGTGTTTTCCCTCAGACCTGCGCTGAACGCGTGCGTGTTTCTTCTGGCAGGTGTGTTGTCTGCGAGGGAGCTGCAATGGTCCTGGCAGTTCACAGCCAAACAACTCTAGTTCCTGCGTGTCCAGAAGGCTGGATGTCTCTCTGGAAGGGCTTTTCTTTCGTTATGGTGAGGATATAAAGACTTGAATTAGTAATTTCATGTCCTCTCGCTTTCACTGGCGTTTTCATTTGCTCGTAGCTCGTTTGTTTGTCAGTCGTTGTTAAATGTTTGGGGAACGGAGTGGTTAACCCAGTCCCGAACACAAAGACACAGAAATAACTGACAGGTGCAGTTCTGTTATGAATTGGGTCTTGGGGCTGAACTCTACTGAAAGGTAAAATCAAAACAAATGCAGAACACTGCCTACAAAAGACAGCCTCCACAGCTTCAATGCCATAAGGAGACGGGAGTGAAGAAAGTTCATAATGTGACTGCAAATTGAGAACTGGGCTTTTCTAGCCAATTTTCTGCTGTCATAAATTATATTAAAGCTATTTCTTCAAGCATTTGCCAACATTAGAGAAGGAGAATGCTGCCTTTGCTTTTTCTGTTTGGAGAAGCAATCGATGCGACAGAAAATAAGCACACACACACCAAAAACCAGGGGATATGACTGACTTGTTACTGTAGTCTCAACGGGACAAAAGCCAGCTACTTTCTTGTCTTTGTACCAGTTACAGTTCCGTGCCTTTTCATGGAGCGGAAAAAAGCCTTTGCAGGGTTTAAGAAATGTCATCGCTGTGCCTGAATTTCTGTGAGGCTTCTGTGCTTCGTTGTAAGCTTCATGAGAGTAATCTGCATTCATTTTGTCTTGTCCAAAATGTACCACAGGACACAGGGTGTGCTTCAGAAAGAGGTGGGTTTTTTTGCCTGCAGTTTACTAAAAGCTGATGGACAAGTTCTCATAAAAAATGTGTTGGTGCTTACAGTACACAAGTGCCGGCTCAGAAGCTTCTGGCCAAGCACTGGCGTCTCCCGGATCTTGTCTGGAAGAATTTCGAGCTATCCCATTCATCGAGTGCCACGGCAGGGGGACGTGCAACTACTACTCGAATTCCTACAGTTTCTGGTTGGCATCATTAAATCCAAGAAGAATGTTCAGGTAAACTGTTCTTCCCTGCACCCGTACGCGTCACATCCACGCTGCAAGTGTCGGAGGAGGCAGGAACTGCCAGCACAGCACGGGGGGCTCCCCTAGGACCCCCCTCGGGTTAGACACCTCCTGTGCTGGCTGTAGCATCACTCTGTAGTGCAAAGATGTCTTAAGTGAGCCAAGGATTTCCATGTCAGTAATTCCATATCCAAAGCCTCAGCATCTCTTCCCATTTTTTTTAAAAGACAGAAGTAAATATTTGTTTTGTTTGCTTTAGGAGGCCTCTGTCACAGACTTTGAAAGCTGGAGAACTAGAAAATATCATCAGCCGTTGTCAGGTCTGCATGAAGAGACCACTCTAAATGGCAGCCGCTCCTGACGGAACATGAACCTCTGCTTTTATGACAAAGAATTGCCTAACTCTGAGGAGCTGTAATTTATTAAAGTCCGACTGCACCTGGAAAGAAAGCTCTAAGTTGCCAGTGCAGCACTGCAGTGAGGTAGGGCAACGGTTTGACTTTTGTCTTTGGCAAACGACAGAGCACTTTGTTGGAGGACACTTAGACCGCAGCCCGCGGGCACTCCTGCCGAGCTGCATCTCCGTGGTAGGACTTTGGCATCGCCTGATCTTTAACGAGAGATGTTGACGCTGCTTCGTGCCACGTGCTTTTCAAACCGCAGGACAAGTGAAACGCTCTAGTATTGGCTTACCTATGTTCAGTGTTCAAAGCAGACATAATTTAAGATGAAAATCTGGTGCTTAGGAGAGACAGGGTTCAGTAAGTAATATTTTCAGTGCACTTTTACATATATAACGATTCATTTAGGGTTGTTTTGTTTTGGTGTTCTTGTCTAATAAACAAGTATCTCCTCACTTACCCCACCCTCCCTCTGGCTGGCAAGCAGCAACACGAGGGTTTTTGCGCCCTGCAGCAGTACTGGCTCCGGGCCGGCCAGGAAGGGAGCAGCGCCAGGCGTGGGCAGCCCGCGCTGCAGTGACACGCACGTGGTGACCCGTGGTGACTCGCGGTGACACGTGGTGACACGCGGTGACATGCGGTGACACGCACTGCGCTCTGCGGAGCGCCCGTGGCTGAGGGCTGCCCAGCCACACGGCCTGGGGAGGTTTCACTCGATTCCGTGAGATCGTTGAAGTTCTGCAGAAGCTGACAGCGTTGGGCCTCCGTTACGATCGCGTGCTTTTGTCTCTGCTGAGGAACAGCTATTTATCATTCCACAATTTGGGATTTTGATGGAATTAACTATTACGGTATGGCTCGAGGGCTCCCGTGGCTTTACCAGGTTATCACACGTGAGCTCTTTCAATTTTATTTTTCATAGGTAATAAAAAGCCACAGTATTCGCGTTTTATAATATTCCATATTTAAATATTGATCACAAATTATATTCTGTATTTAAATATTTATCACAGTTTCTGCAAATGGAACCATTAATTCCATTCAGTCAAACGTACACATCCAAAATTTCAAAAGGAGACCCATATTTAAGTTGTACCATCTAAGCACTGACTTATACAGGAGAATCCAGCTGTAAATGAACATGAATACTTGAAAAGCACTTTCATTTACTCATATAACTTATATAAAATTGTAGCTCTGAGGTGTTTTTTTTTTTAATATTTATAACATTGCACTTGCAAGGCTATTTAAAATTGTAATGTTAACATTTAAAATGTTAATATTTTGTAATACTTGCACAATCTATCAGAATTCCAGTATTTAGTGTTATAGAAGAAGCCTCATTCATCTGAATAGTTCTGTAAACGCATCATTTTAAATGTAGGGTCTAGCAACTCATTGAAATAACCAAGATTTCGCATTTAGGTGTTTTTTAAGCCAGTGACATTTTATATTGTTTCTGTTCAAATACTTGCATTGTGTTTGTCTGACTGTTTGGATTCTCAGTGTTAACCTAACTACGAATAAGCTTCGTCTGTGTTTCATGGCAGCATCTTCCGACGGCGCTAACGCGGGGGTACCGCTGCCATGAACTGAATGGGTATTTTAAAGTTATCGTTTGCTTGATCGGTCACACTGCTTCTGTTTGCAAGGTGTAATTGTGAATTTGCAGGGTTTTATGAAGAATCTGTATGCAGATGCACTACTGGTGAGAAGGTTTTAACGTCGAGTTAATGTTTAGTCTTCCATTTGAACCAGGTTTGGGGTTGAGGGTGTTTTCCTTAAAACGATCATGTATTAGATTTTTTTCCATAAACTCTGAAGTTTGCTTTAAATACTCAAAGGTAAAATCCACACCAGCTGCTTGTTAGCTTGTTGAGGTTTTGGCGTTTTGTTGGGCTTTTCTTCTCTTCATTAAGGCTCATTAGAGCCACCCAGAGGCATTGTACACTTGATGACTGTGGAGACCCTCGTGTAAAACTCACTGGTAAAACACAGAATGTAAGTACCCCAGGGTTGCAGTCTGCGAGAAATGGGCAGTGGAGGGTCATGTGTGAGGAGGGAATGGATTGCAAAGTCTGGAGGTAAGTTACACAGAGCTACGTCTCAGAGCACAGAACTGGAAGCTCTTCCTTGCTCCCAGTTTTGGATTCGCTTTTTGTGTGGCCTTCAACAAGTTACTAAGGGAAGATTTCCATGAGTAGCTTTAGAGTTTGGGTGCTCAAGCTCAGTCTTTCTTTTGAAAGCATGAAACAACTGCAAGGACACGTGTTCATCACACTGAGCCTCGTGCGAGCTGGACACTGAAAATCAGAGAAAAGCTTGAACCAGTTGATCTTGAGTTCTCTCTGCAGATACAGACCATTTTACTTCCCTACTGCTATTGATTGTCGTGAGGATGAGTTAACTCTTGTCTGTAAATGCTTTGAGAGCCTTAACTGGAAAGTGCTGCCGAGGGGCGAGGTGTTCATATATTGTACTGAAAGAATGGAAGCATGAGAAATCATAAATAATGCGCAAACAAGGGTGGGGGGGAGGCAGGGAAGAGGAAAGTAAACCTTCTGCTAAATAAAAAATATTTTGACTAAATAAAAGACCCGTTTTGCTTGGTTTTTTGTTCTTGCCCCGGGAGCCCCCAGCGCACTGCCCAGCTTGCAGCCTCAGGACGCGGGTGCAGGCCCTGCCTTTATTTTTATCTGGCAAGAGATCGGTTTCAGGCCACTTGCCTCTGCGCAACAGCACCGCTGGGATTTGAAAAGAGCGGAATTAGCAAGTGCCGGGCCTTGGATCAATACACGCTCCAATCCTCCTGGCATCGCCGCTCCTTTCGACCTCCCAATGTCAGTGGGACCGGACCTTCGGGCACAGGGCTGCGTTCCTCCCTTAAAAGAGTATCTGCTATACGTAATTGCATTTTCTGTTTTATTGTTCTCTGCGGAGTTGGAAAAG